GAGGCAAACAGCACTGGCAGGGTAAACCCACTTTGTGTGCACCTTGGAGCTATGCTATGCTCAGACTGTGGTAATTACATACTCTAGAAATACAATATAAGCAACAAACAGTTAAAAGGATTATGTGCAGTGCAGTGAAAACAAGCGGGTCACATAGGTCAGTAGTAAAGAACATAAAGTTGAAAGAAAACAAGCAATACAAGAGTAACAACACAAATGCTAAGATACGCAGTGCGAACAGCTTTTGCAGAGCTAAACTTTGTAGAACATTTGAAAATGATAGGGTTCATGTCAAGACATAGCAAAATGGCTAAGCGAACGAGACGATTACCATATCGAATTACAAGCCAAGCTGAAGCTATCAATTGGCATTCTGGGAAGCTAAACTGCATGGCAGCAGACCGAATAGCGTAGTTGTTTGAAGAAAAAGCTTTTTTCACACATTTCATTTGCGCGTGTGTGTTTTTGTTTTTAATTTTCCTGCAGTCTGCCACATAGCCGTACTAGGAAGTTAAACAATGAGCGATTTGTGCCAAAAACCACAAGTCGGCAATGCCAAATGGCGGTTGGGTTACAAAAGGCAAACTTTGAAGTCGCTCAATGCTAGAAATTATCCTTCGAAAAATTATAAAAGGAATAGAACACAAGTAGTACAAGACAAAAAATGTGTGCTATGTGCCAAAACTATTTCAGTAATCACACACTGTAAGCATGTGTATTGGCGCGCGGTGTTGTTAGGAAGGACGAGCGGCATAGAGACACATTATTTGTGCAAAGTTGAAGGCTCTCATTTGTGCTTTTGGCTGGCAAGCCATGTGTGCTCGAATTTTCTGGCGTATTGCCCAATAAGTGTACAAGGTAATCATTACACAAATCCTTGCAGTTGAATTAAAAGCGCGCTGCGCTTGTGTGTGGCGGGGTGTATGTAGCAGGTATTTGATTTGTTTTGAGTTGTCTAAAAATTGCTTTATATAAGACCAAATTTACCCGTAAAAATACCCACGAAAAGCTTTTAATGGATTTTGCTTGTACAGCGCTTTGATTGCAATCTACACTGAGCACGGCTAAGGTCGCATTTAAATTAATCGTTCCTACGTGAAATAATAAATCTTCAGTTTTTGTGATTGCAAGACTCAAGATTTTGTTTCTTGTAACATACACATACACTTGCACTTCTACGGCTATCGCGCTTAGTGTTGTTAAATGCAGGTTAATTATACTGCGGTAACACTTAAAACACTCGTATGCATTTGTCTGAGTGTCTTTGCAACAAGAAGTCAAGAAATAACACCTGAAATCAGAAAAAAAACGCCGACCAGTCACTAAATTCACGCGCCGGCTACGAAACTTAAATCAACTTAAACTTTTTAAATTTTTTTTACTTTAAAATATCGCGTGTTGCACAAAAAGTTCTAAAATGTTGGCTTACCTTCTTGGTTTTCGACTTCTTCAACGCTGGCATAGGCATGCAGAACTCCTTATTCAACGTCTCGCTTCCATTTCGCACAATACTTCACACTTTTTTCTTGGTATTTTCTCGCACTTTCGGCTCTTTTATTGATTTTTGTACAAACATTTCCAGCGTGAGTTGCAGTAATTTTGTGGTTCACTCTTACCTTTAGCGAATTTTCACTTTTTCAAACTGAACTGGTAGATCGAAAAAAAATCTATAAGAATTTTGCCATATCTTGAAATCACATAAATAAAAAAGTCTCCCGCTAAGGCAGACGTCTTTGACACACGGCGCAAATACCTTCTGCAGCAATGCTAATGCAGTTTCAAACACACACACACGCACACATATGTACGTTTTGTTATATTTTTTATAAGTATTTGCCCTCTGGGTACTATACTACCTTATCCGCAAATTCATTTTACGGCTGCTTCACCTTGAGCAGCGCACGTCCGCTAGCAGGGCAACTAACCTACCCTACCACCACCGGCTCGTAGCGACGCGGCAGCGTCGTCTTTCACGTGCATTGCAACCCTCGCAGCATGCTACGCTTTCTAATACTGGACGTTACGCCTATACGTTATGTTTTTAAAGAGCTCTAGTGCGCAACCAAGCCAATATGGTCTGCTGCTTTTGCTTCTAAGCTGAAATCAATGACCTTTGCAGCGATTATTTTTTACTTTATATTTAGTGCGAGTTCTGCACAACTTGGTGGACGATTCTTTGCACGTGCTGTTTTGATTTTATTTTTTTCAAAAGGAGAGTACACTCACAAATATGTCTAAAATTTGAGAGCATTTAAGGCACAAAAGTTTAAGCAATTTCTACTCGAAAAATTATATTACTCTTTAATGTTTAAGTATTTTTTGAGTCTAGATAAATTATATATATTTTCTAGATAATTAAAAAAAATTAACTATCCGTGCTTTACCCCATTATCGCTAAGCTCATAGCGCACTTAAACCTTTGCAAGCGGGCTTATGAAGAGTTTACTGCAATTTACCACTTGAAGTAATCTAGAAAACGACTTAACTATTTCAATAGCAAGAACGTGTAACAACAAAAATAAAGCAAAAGTAATCAGCATATTGCAGCAAAATAATAACAATGGCTAAAAAATGAAAGTCATGAGAAATAAAGAAAAAAATTTTTAGTGGCGAAAACAAAAGGTTTCAATCGATATCATTAACACGAGCCCCTAGTCACACTCGGTAAATGTACATTAGGGTGGAGCAAAAAAAAATTGTCTTTTTTTTTTGCTTAACCTGCGTATAAAATTTGTAGATTATAAAAAAACAAGAAAATTTTTGGAAATAAAAATAAAACATCTTTTAAAGTAAATTTCGAGATAAAATTTTTTTTGGACAAAAAAAAAGTTTTTTGGTTTAAACTCTTCACATTTATATAAAAACTACCGAATTTGACGGTTTTTGACTCAAAATTTATTTTAACGCTTAAGGAAAGCATGTTGTTGTTTAAGACTTTTTTTAAACTCCACATTTTTTTTTAAGTTGGTAACTTTTAATTGGGCAGAAAGAGAACTCTCCACAGCTTTTAAAACACTTATCAAAAAATTTTTACGAAATAAAATTTTTAACTCGAAAATTTACTTTAAGAGTGGGTGTTAAAAGTTTTTTTTTTCATTTCCAAGAATTTTTCTTTTTTTTAATAAGCTACACATTTTACGCTCAGTCTAAGCAAAAAAATTTTTTTGTTTCGCTCCATCCTAATGTATTACATACATACAAAGCTACACGTATGCGGTTGTAAAATTGTCTATTGTGTGTGTGTGACATTGCTGCCGCATTTGGTCAATCTTCGGCCTGTCAGGCGACAAGTGTGGCATTCAACAAAGCATGTTTTTTTTAATGATTTATGGTGCACGAAAAATTGTATTTTTTTCTCTTGACAGGCTTTTTTATTGGAAATATATATTTTTTATAACACTTGAGACATTGGCAACATTTTTCATACTTAATTACAATAATGAGTATATAAAAAACAAAAACAAGTATAAATTAAAAAAAAAATCGTATAAGAGGTTAATGAAATGTAGCAGAAGACACTTAATAATGTGGAAAAATTTAAATGACAATGAGCGCTTAAAGTGGCAGTGAAAAATGAGGCTAAAAATTAAGATGCATAAAATATTATTGTGAAAAAAAATGGTTATTTTAATGCAATGCAAACAATGTGTTGCTACTTGCTGGCATTTTTGTGCTACCCGCCACTTGAATGCGGCGAAATAATCAATAGCTTTTATTTTTTATGCCGGAAATCGCTCGAATACGCAACAAATACACATACACACATATGTACGTATGTGCATAAATTTGTTGTAAATGAGTAAACGCACTCGAAAAGCAATTTGACAGTTCGAGTGCAGCGCTGTTTGAGTGCTAACTGTCAATAGTGGCACGTTGAAAAACGATTGGAAATAAAAAGGTAACTGTTAAGTGCTACTAGGCAGACGATTTCATAAGCGGAAGTGTCAATAGTTAGAAGTGATTTGAGGAAGCGCTTCGAAATTAAAGGAAATTAAATATGAAATGAATTGCGAGAAATAGGCGGCGAAAGCGAGAAAAGCAAAGATTGCACTTGCAGAAAAAATTATGAAACTTGTCGTTGGTGCTTACTTATGTACAAGTAACTTTCGCAAACACCGTAACTTAGTTGAAATACCATGAAAGCTTTCTAGAAGTAACAGAAAAAGCAACAAATGTCAGCAAAATATTGTAGTTTACAACAACAGATGATAGCGATTGTAGCATATTTAGTATAGTACGCAGTTACCTCGTTTCTACGCATACTTGGCCACGCCTCAAATAACCTTTCAATCACTATATATATGCTGTGTATATAGTACACCCACCTACATCGTAATAAATAGCCTTGTCATCGTGCATATTATTCATATGCAGTATACGAGTAAATATTTGCATATTAAAAACAGACAAACGGTTATTTATGACTTTTTGTAATTTACGATTTATGAAAATTTCAAGTCGTAAATTCGTATTTAGCGTTATGACACAATACGAAAGCTAGAAGAAAACAAGAAAATAGAAAAAAAAATGGCTGCTTTCGAACTCAAAACGTTTTCGAGTGCGGTTACTGCTCACTGCTTTTTTTGTTTTCTAAAAGTAGTCAAGTAATAAGTCAAGCGTCAGCAATTAATTATACAGTTAGTCAATTTCTTCCCGCGCTCTCCCACTCGCTCCACACAATTTTGAACACTACACTTTAAGCATTTGAACAAAAATATGGAAAAAATATACTGAGCTCACGACTTTTATTTAAAAAATGATTTAATTGTTTTCTATGCTTCAAAGTTTAGGAAATTTCCTACTCGCAGTCACACACACGCGCATAGATATATACATTTATATATGAGTAAGTGTGTGGTGCTTGTAGAAAACGCAGTTTGAAATATCGTATTCACTTAAGTATTTGAAAAAGTATAGTTCGAATAAGTATTTGTTATTGTATGAAAAAATTTGTTATTGTAAAATTTTTAATGACTATATTTATGTTTGCTTGATTACAGGTTACCCCAGTTAACGCTCAATGCCAAGAATACTATTTTACTTATGGTAAGTAAACGATTATGGCTCTAAAAAGGCTATGCAAATTACTGCTTGTGAAAATATTAAATATAAATAAATAAGTAAAATATATGCAGTAAATAAATAGTATTGTTTTAAAGTTTGAGTACGCAAAAAGAGTTAAAAATATGGAAAATGAATTTCATGAGTGTTCATAAGCATGTAAATAGGTTTAAGTTTTGATAGAAAGAAATTTATAATTTTGTTTTTAAAGTTTTTATTTTTTTCAAAAAAAAAAATTTTTCCAAAAAAATTTTTTTGGAAAAATTTTTTTTTCATGTTAGAACTTAAACATTTTTTATTTGTATTTTTTTTTCCAAAAAAAAATTTTCCAAAAAAAAAAACAAAATTTCCCAAAAATTTTTTTTCATGTTAAAACAATTTTAATTTTTATTTTTTTATTTTTATATTATATATGAAAAAAGACATAATGTGAGTGATCACAATATAATAGCGTACATATTAATAAAAAAAAACATTTTCGAAAAAAAAACCATATTTTCAAAAATATGCAGTGCCCATCTGCTTACCCGATTATCAGCATACATAATTGATCACTCATAACTTTTCACATAAATTTGTGTCTCATTGCGCTTGTCAACAATGCCCCCCACGCCACTTAGCACAATCGCCAGATACATATTTGAATTAAAAGCAACAACAAAAAATATATGTTCCGATATCTGTAAGTAGTATTTACGCGAGCACTCGAAAGAGCTGGGTTGAACGCCATTGAACTGCGACAAAGAGAACATAAGTACACTGTAATAAAAATTGTTATTAAAAGCAAAACAAAAAACGCAAAAACAATTAAATAAAAAAAAACTTAAACTTAATAAACCACAATAATAATGAGCGCAAAAGCTATGACTATGGCTTGAAAACAAAAAAAATTATATACATAAAAATAAAAACAATGAAATGAGCATTGAAACGCTTTTCACGCTTGTTGGCGACCAAATGGCTGAAAAATATAGAAGACGCGCAGATAAAGCGTGTGACAACAGAAACAATTTTATTTTGGTTTTTGGGTGCATATTTCTAATATATTTTTATATGTAGTACACAATCAGCGCTTCTCGGCTCCGAGCTAAGTGTTAATTTTACAACGATCATATTTTTATTAACGATGTGAGCGGCGCGTTTTGGCTGATTAGAAATTTAGTGCCTTACGCGCGCAATCACAGCAGCGGCTTAAAGAGATTGGCTTCAACTTATTCTGCGACATGCTGTGGAAGAGCTTTCATTGATTGATATGCTTTTTTGAAATATAATTTTTTTTTAATATGTTTTGATACTTTTAATGGGCTACAATAAGTTTTGGATTTGTTACAATTGAAATTTGATTTATGTGTTTTATTTGAGAAATGTCGGGTCAAAAAAGTCGTTATTTTTGTTGTAGATTATTCTAATTACTTTGATTTATATTTGGAAGCGTGTCGAATATAGCGGATATTGTGTCATTTAGCGGGTGTTTAATTGCTTGTACAATATTTTGAGTTTAAGCTTTGTTATTGCTGGCTATCTCTAGATTGGGTGTTTACGGGTATGTGGAGCGTAAAAAATTAAAATTTTGAAATAATACAATAACTTATGCTTTTATGAAAAATTATACGAACACAAAAGCAAATATTTTTAATTATTTGAAACACACATAAGATACATATGTTTTTATATATGTATGTTAAAACTATAAAATAAATTTTCGCCAAATTAATGAAATGATAATATGTGTTTAATATGAAAAGTTGCTTTAAGGCGCACATTTCATATCAATCAACTGAAAAACACACACAACGTTTGCATTAAGTGAGCATTTTTTGTTTCCCTGGATTTTCGTTTGTACTAAGTTAGCATGATTTGACAATGAGCAGTTTGTTAATACTAAGTTGAGATCTTTCATTGACGCTCAAAATCGCTGGGATAACATATTTGCTACTCTGAACACTTCACATACTCTTACAGTATAGATGTTTGTATGTATATGCTTACAGGCTACCTAAAACTATGGCATAATATAAAAGCAACATTACGAAGAACATTCCAAGCAAAGTATATACTCGTACTATATGTTATAAATACCCGAAAATCCCTACACATTATCTAACCACTCATAATGGCTTACTCATGGCCAAAGAGAAAAAATGTACACTACTTATAAGACTTCATGGCCGAAGAAAAGTCAGAAGTATATCAATATATGATATCTTACACTATTTTGATAGTGTTGTTCAGCATGTTTACGCGTGAAGCTTCACAAAACCAGCTTTGAAGACCTTTAATAAGCTTTGTGGACATTTAAGGATCAGACAAACAGAACATAACCTCAAAAAAATGTCTACGAATATACAGCGGTGAAGTATTTGATTGACAAAAATATTTAAACAATTCTACTGAATTCTAACAATCAATTAAGCCCACTAAGCTGGCGGGTATTAAAAGAAAGCTTATGTACAGAAATCAATTTTAATTACACTTTGCACTGGCTCAAAGCAAACAACCTAGTAATTACACACACATGCAAACGTATGCACGTTTTGCAATAGAGGCTAATGGTGTTTTGTAAAATAGAAAATTAAAAAAAAAAATTTCGGTGTAATCAATCACATTGCTTAAGCTGATACATAAAGCAGACGGCTTACGCGTGGTGCAATTCAGTGATAGCTACGCCTTAGGCGCGCGCCATAGGTATGAGCGAGCGCGCACTAGTGTGGCAGGACAATGGTCGCTGCTTTCGTAAGCTTCAAAAGGCTTGTATTTCTATGGTGAAAAACTTAAGCGCGGGCTTTGTGGACTCAGTGTTGTGCCAGAAGAAGCTGTCGTTCGATAAGCGCTGCTGAAAAGATACGACGGTTCGAGAGATAATGATGTAAGAAATGTAGCGCAAAAATAGGTGATGGTCTCAGCCATTAGTAAAAATTGTAGGAAATGAGGACTTTGGCAGTCAGTGGAGTTTAAAACCTGATATGTTGCTTTATTTTGGTAGTCGAAAAATCTAGAGTAAACGGTGCTTAATTTCCACCTGTTGTCCATATTTGGCGAAGCCCGTATGCCTTGCTGATATTAATTTTTATCTATTTGCACTAAGTCCATTGTGTCTTGCCATGTTTGGCACGCAGCATATGCGGCGCGTTTAATATCTTTTTTTTTTTTTAGCATAAGCATATTACTCTTGGCATTTATAATGCATATTTTAATTGAAAATTGACCTTAAATCCAATTTATGCCCATTCATTTGTGCTAAGCAAAGCTTGGAGGCCTTCAAGCCATACGCACACAAGTGCATGTGAGCCTTAAAGTGGCCTTAATTTAAATTATTCGTTTAAAAGGCGACATTAAAGCGCCAGATAAATTGGCTCTACTGATATGAGCGGCGTAGTGTCAGCACAAAAAAGAACGGCAAGAAAAAAGCAAGCGACGGCAGCTCCCGTCTACAGTCCCCAATCTGCCACATTTGCGCATATACATGCGCGTATGTGTGTAGCAAACTCATCCTTTGGTGAGCGCCGTTTTGTCTCTCTGTCGGCAAGAATTTTTATTGTCTTATGTTGACTGGCGTTCAACAGCTGCTGCTGCACACATACATACACAGACAATTTAGGTCTGTACGACAATGCGGTGAAGGCATCATGCGACATTGGCAAATCTATTTTCAACATGAGCGCATTTCAATAAATTCACATTTAATGCCATAACAATTGTGGCCCTGTGTCGGTGCGGCTATGCCAGGCCTATAAGCCGTTGTATATCCCTACTGTCGTTCATAATTGTTGTTGCTACTGCAGTAGTTTATTGGCGGAGTGGAGTTGTATCAAGGTGAATATGTGTACTACTAACGGCAGCCAGACAATGTAAGTTGGTCGCGCTAGTATGCGTGTGCTTCATACACTTGTCCAGTTGCCACTTCTGCATAGCGGCGCTACAAAGGATTATGGGCTTTTGCAGGCTTATATGTCGCCTGCGGTCACCTACATACATATATAACTAAATAATCCTTTTAAAGTGTTTCTTACGCGGTAGATTGTGTTGGTGGAGGGTTTAAAAATTTAATATGCAGTATTTAGTAGAGAGTGGTAAATATATAATGCAAATTACTTGTTTCAATATCAAAATATTTGTATAAATTAATAAAGTATAAAAAAAAAATAGATAAAAATTAAAAATCACCAATAAATTGTAAGTGGAGACTTTGGAGACATTGAAAAAATAATACTTTTTGTTGCAATTTCCAGATTATTTATATATATTTCATTGCAAACATTTTTTTAGTGATTTAAAATTTTGTAGAGTAAGGAAATTTTTGGAGACTTTTCAAAATAGTGAAACCTTGAATAATACAATCAAAAAATTCTTTTAAAAAAATAGCAATTTCGAAATAGCATGCTGTTAAGTTGAGCTGCGGCATATTGCCGTTCAGTGTGCTTATGCAACTACTTTCAATTCAATCAGCAAATGCATTAAGCGCACATACACAATTTTTCGCCTGAATTTCATTCCTTTAGTACGCTTTGCAACATTTTAACTTCAAAGTATACTTTTTCATAACTCAAATGACTTGCATGTCTGCACTCGCATGCGTTTATAAGAAGAGACAAAGCGCAAAAAAGGTTTGTCGTCGCGAGTCAAGGCATAAAAAATTGATATGACATTATAATCCGACACGTTACACACTTGTCAGCAAAAATATTGCACTGACTGTCAAAAACCACAAACACCTGTAAAATGTATGCCTTGAGCGGCACAACTAACAATAATAATTAATAGGCACACATGCAAACGATTGAAAATGGGTATACATACGAGTATAGTGCTATGCTTCGACCGCTGTGGTTGCACGGTTTTCACTTATTCCGATATTAGTTTTAACAACTTTGATTTCGATTATGTAAATTGGATTACAAAGGATCGAATGACAGACTGAAGGAAACAAACATTTCCGTTCGATGTGTTGTTAGCCACACACATAAATACATGCCTACACATACATATGTTATATGCAGCAACTCGCTTCACACATTGCTTCCGCTGCGCCTGGTGATGCAAATTTATCAATTTCCTGTTGATAGCTTGAATTAACACGTTGACTGCCGCGCGCGTTACAGTGAAATCTTCTTCAGGCCACGCGTACCGCGTATACGGAGTTTACGAAGCGTATTCTGTTGGGTATTTCCATCGATAGTTTAAAAATGCGTATCGGGCCGATCAGAGACATAAGGAAATATAAAGAAAACAACAAATTATTGTCCAAGTTGTCCCGACCAACCGCAGCTTTGTATAGAATGTTTTAAAGTCTTACATTCTACATAGTTTTCTTAATAATTCATGTTCGAATTTCTTTTATTACAATAGCTTATATTAATGAAATTCTATTATAAATGAATACGTTTATGTTAATAAATATAGTTTATATTAATTATTTCTCAATAGTTTTGTTACTTTCTCTGCGATATATCTTTTTAAACACATACGATTATCCATCGCAAGTAGTCAAATAAGCGTCACACCAATACGGGTGACGCGGCTCGATCCGAAATTTGAACTCACCCGAATATGGGTGACGTGTCAGTTAACGTGTTAATGACCTTAAATGCACTGGCGCATTCATTTGCATTAATCAGTTATTCATTATCGTTATTTAATCTCCAACACTATCACATCCAAGATATTAGCTACCAACAGCATTTACGCCGTCTCGCAAATGATCGCATCAGCAACAGCGCTGAGTGCCTGCCGGCAGCGTACGCTCGCTATCCCAGCATCGATGTCATCATCATCAATTCTTGTCCGATTTCATAAGCATTTTGTATAGCTTTTTTTTGCTACATTATTATTCCAATTTTAATAATTGTTATTATGGTGGGAATTTTTTTCGGTATACCCCAAGCAAGCCGAATAATAGTCTGGAACGCGTAGCAACCGACCATGTCGCAGTTTTAGGCGGCATTCAATTTTGTCTTCGCTGCTTTTTGTGACACTTACAATGAGCGTTTAAGTGGATGCTGCTTCTTGCAGTTCTTGTTGTTGTTCTTTCATTATTATTTTTGTCTTTTCGAGCATGCGAGTTTTTTTTCTTCGCTTGTTGTTCTTTGCGGAGGGAAATGAAATTTATGAATTGCATTTTAATTGTCGGCTATGCAAATAATGACTAATAAACTTGCTATTAAATGTGCGCGCCGATGACAATATTTGCATTTTTATTGTACGTATATCAGCGCGTAAAGTCCGCAATACATGGTGCAATCGGTTGACACTAGTGAGAGCGATATTGTTAAGAACGTGTTTTACGATAGCGCCTGGAATGCTAATAAAAGTCATTTAATAATGCCCGCGATGCAATAAAGTGGGGTTATGTCAGTCAGGGATTAAGCGCACAAAAGCGTGATAAAGTGAAACTGAAAGTTAACAATTAAGCAACTTTGTTCGGGTTTGGTTAGACTGGTGTGTGCGGTAGGGTTCTACGTTAAACAAACATTGAGTACCTATATGCAGAGTTTTGTTTTTTCTACAAAGTTTTTAAAGTTATAAAGTTATGCGGTTGAAAATATACTTTCTTGCAAATGTAAATGTAATACATTTTGAAACTCTCCAAAAATATAAAGTCAAGCTTTGGTGTGCTTATCGTTTGCTGAGTGCTTTATTAATACTATTGTCTTGATTCTGCCAAAAATTGTTTGTTTTTGAAAGTCTCCAAAATTTATTTTTGCTTTGAGCACTTTATTACAATGATTTCTTAGTAATTTTTGTATTTTGTGACAAAGAATATTTGCATATCGAAAGTTTTCAAAGCATAAAAAGTTATGCAAAAGCAAACTTGCTATAACAGTGTATGTATTAATAATTTTAGTAATTTTATATACATTTTTACTTGCAATTTGTTTAGTACTGCTAGATTATACAAATTATAAAAATAATTTTACTTTTGCTCTTTCATTACAGGTAATGTTTGCCTTTGTAGTTCCAGCTTACACAAAAGCAAAAGACTATGTCTTAATGCTTACGACCCACAACGACCGAGCGCTACATATAAATGACGTCGGCAAGGTGACTGCAGCTAACATAGCTTTTGCACGTAAGTTTTTTCAACATTACAACCATAATTCTTGGAGTTATTAAATTTAGAATAAAACGTTGTTGTACAGAAAAAAAAGGTATATACTCGGGTTAAAAATTAAATTGAGCTCTCAACTCCTCGCCGAAACAGCGGGATTTATTGAGAATCAATGTCATAAATAACTACGCTGTGGAGATGTCTACACGCAAGTTTCGTATATTAATATGTGTGCGTGTAATATAAAGAAATTAAGAAATATTTCAATTTCTACACGCCAAGCACAACTACTCGTCTGTCGCTCCTATTGGGATTGTCTCACTGCAGAGCGAGCGTAATAAATTTTCATTGGAAATCTTAAATTTTGCAATTTTAATTGATTTGGCTTTTGTAGCTAACCTTTTTCGGTACTTTCAACTCTCGCTTTGTGTCTGTCCTTATTCGCTTAAGCGAAACTTCATTCCATTTTTTAGATTTATGCCGTCTGGTATGTCGTATTTGGTGTATATATTGTAGCAACTTAATTAAATTATGGTAATTTAATATTTTATTGCTATTGATTTAAAGTCTTCACTCGTGGACGCACATAAATTCGCTGTTAAATCGCAAGAATGTCGATACATGGCAGTTGTTATGAGAAAAAAATAGCGAATAACATTTCACTGTAGAGTTGCTTTGCTGGCGTCAGTGCGAGCTGTTGGCGCCATCTGTCAATTTAAAGGTTGCTTTGCGGCATACACACACACTTATTCACGCTTGTGTTATTATTAGGCGCTTGTATAATTGAAATTATTGTATTTACTATGATTGTCAGTAATAAAATGTAATACTACCAAATATATGTGACCGGTTCGTTGGCCGATAAGTGCATTGATTACATACACCAGCGCATACATAAATATACTACTTATGAGTTCCTATGTAAAAATGTTGCACTTGGCGTACAAAACCCACGCATGCCGCACAACACGCAGTTGAAGTTTCGCTATTAATTTTATGGTTTTCGGTCGCTGTCATAACCACCGCAAGTTACTGTCGTTCATAGGATTTTCTAGGTCGCTGCGTTTATACAAAATTTCAGAGAAACTAAACATTTTCTAGGAAATAAGTTAATTTGGTTGCATTGCACTTTAGTACTATCGCTGCAATTACGATTAATGGCATAGTAGATAAAGATTTCAATTTAATTTTTACTAAGTCATTTGAGTAATCAGTATGCGAGGTGTGAATATGTGAATTAATGATTAAAATATTTCAAGGAAAAGTATGAGCTCACGCGTATATTGATACATTTTCAATATTAAGTCATTTAATTCAACCTTATATGCATCAACTCAGTTAAAAGTAGCTATTTGAGTTGTTTTATAATTAAAAAAAAAAATTTTTTTTAATTCTTCAAACTCTCCAAACTTTTGAAAATACATCAATTGGTCGAGAACAGTCAACTTTCCTGTAAAAGCCGGAAAGTGTAAACGAATATGAAAATGCTTTAAGTCTACAAACTCTTCAATTTTTAAAATGTATGCTATTATAACATATGACAATGAAAATAAGTAGCTTTCACCCACTATCACCGGTTACCAATAGTAACTGAAATATTCGTAATATGTGAAAAAACAAAACCAAACAAACTTCTCACGTAATTGCATTTTATCTAGAGCGATCACAGGCGTTATAAAAACTTTACTTTTTTTTAAATTCTTATTTGCTAATTTTAAATTTACTATAATATCTGTATACTGAATATTTTTTGTTGTGAAATAAGTAGTAAAAATATTCCAAAGCTAAAGAGGGTAAGTAGTTAAGGGGACGATACAAAAATAAATCGTACACTACTACTTCCATAAATCTTCTATAAACAAGCGATAAAATAATCAACTGTCGAAGAAAAGTGTAGGAAAATAACGTAATTGATAAAATTCCATAGTATTTAGTATGATATGTATGTCACCATAAAAAAAACTTGCATTTGCATTGTTGCTTTAAGTTGTTGTTCAGTTGTAGTTTATGTATTGATATCTTATTATTGTTGTAGCTATGACTACTGCAAATGCTTTTTATATGACTTTAAAGTTATTTTGAGAAAGTTTTTGCCACATTTTAACTTTTAGATATTTGAAAATTGATCGGCTATGTAGAAATATATATTTTTTAACATTATTATATATATATGGTACTTTAAACAACATGAGGCGTCAAAAAATATGCCCTAACAAAGAAAATACACCTAGCTGTTTGTTTCTTAATAAATATCATTTCAATAAGGCCGCACATATTTTTGAAAGATTGGGATTGATAAGCGTTAGTTAGTTATGGGGTTTAATTTAAGCCACTCATTTCCTTCATTATCTCCGGTGATAAAGCAAATAATTAAACGGGATTCCAGGAAATTAATCTCTTGTTAATCGTAGACCAATCACCTCAATATGATTACCGAACGGCGACACCGGGGCGTATACGTACTGTAGTACTAGTATTATCTCAAGTGTGTTTTATATTCATCGTAAAGAGACACCACATACCTTTTAACGCCAACACAAATTGTAAATAACGAAAAAAGGAATGGCCCTTTTGCCGTATGTTTACTAAGTCGCCAAGTTTAAAATATTTTCACTACTGCGTAGCGCAAGTATTTTTAAACTCTGATCAATATATGGGAATGGCTATGACCGAATGGTAAGCTTTAGCGGCAGACAAATGCAGGCACATATCTTTCGCATGACATCATATGAAAGTAGGGGAAATGACATTGCCGTATAACGATAAAAATCTAATAGCTGCTTAATACGAGCATGTTGCTTTTTTTATATTAGTTAAATAATCAAATTAAGCTGTATAACATGAAATTAGATAGTTTAAAATGAATTCTTACTTACTTAACAACTTTGTTTTTATTCTTGCAGAGCCCATAACCATGGATAATGTTGGTGATCCATTTAATGGCGATCCATTCTTTATTACGCTTTATGCCAAACAAGTTGGGCGGTTTTTGTGCTTTCGACATGGCAGATTAGAGGGACTGGTAAGTAAAATTTGGCAGTTTTTATATAATTAATAGCAATCGCTGCATTAATATGAGATCGGCTGAATGAAAGCGATAAAATGTTAAATTATTATACATGTATATTAACTTTGAAAAATACTACGATTTCTACAACGGAAAATTATTTAAGCTTCTAAATTTTATTGCATGAAATCAGTGTAGACAATTTTCGCAAAATATAAAAATCTCTACAAACTGTACACTTTTTAAACAGGCTATTTCAAAGTATTTTTTAAATATAATAGTTAAAAACTACATAAAATAGCGGTTTATCAAGAGTTTTTCAAACTCTCCACTTGGTAAACAGTCTATTTCAAATATGTATTTCAAGTAAAGTTGTTTAAAATTACATAAAACAGCTGATTCTCATGAATTTTTCAAAGTCTCTAAACTTTCCGCTTAGCTTAAATTGCACGCAAGCATACGTAAATATTACTCTAGTACCTCAAACGAGCCTTTTTTAGACAAACATACTTACATTACACATGCAATATAAAAGCCGTAATAAGTAAATAAATATTTGTTTATTACTTCTTCATACCGTTATCTTTGCGGCCAATCTTAATACAAAAGTATTACTAAATTAATGATCAATTAATATGATAGCTGTGATTTTTAAGTGGTCGGCACTAAAAATCGGTATTGAAATAGAAAATATAATAAACTTCACATTTAGCGCGCCTCAAGAAGTCTTCACGTCGCCTGCACAAAGCAAGTGTGAGTTTTGATAAAATCTCTTATCTAATTTAATCACTCTAATAAATTCGTCAAAATGTTTGAAATTTACCGAACTACTTGGACCTATTTGGTGTTGGGCAAAATAGAGACGCATAAAATTAATTATAATTTTCATAATGGCTATTGAAAATTTACGAGTGGGAGGATATCTTCGGACATAACTTGAGGGCTGTAATTTGGTATTGGAAATTCCAATGACGTACTTCTGAGTGCTAAGTTATAATTTATTTGCGATATACAGGTATAGAAATACATTATGTTGACAGACATGGAAAAATATTGCAGATAGATATGTGAAGGGGCGCTTTAGAGACCTAATTTAGGGAGGGAGTTTTGTGCGATTAAATTTTCAAGTTCAGTTTGCAACGGTATTTTATTTGAGGAGTTTTTGAATATTTGTTTTTTTGTTTCCCCACAGAGGAAAAAAATTCTAACTTTTTTGGTTTATTTTCTCTCCTCTCTTTGCAGAAACAGCTCACGCGCGATTGCCACTTCAGTGAGAGCATTGAACATGGTCACTACATGTACGCGAATGCCTACAATGCAACGCTGCGGGTAGGTTTCACGAAGCGATTTAAGCCCATTGGACCGAAGCGGCTGAAACATGCGCACAGCATCAGTAAGGATCACTTCCTCTTTGAGCGGCGCCGGTTGGAAGATATTACTATTAGTAGAATCACCTCTTCAACTACAAGAAAAACAACAACTAAACCCATTATCACCACCACCACCATCTCCACCACCACAACAACCATGCATACACCCAAAGTCACACGCATTCAGCGGAATAGATATAATGCCCACAAACACAATAACAATGACAATAGTTCCACACTGAAAAGCACCATAACACAGGAGAGCCTACAGCAACCACAAAAAGGACTGCATACAGAAGCTGCAAAGAGTATTACTAATAATAATAATGATAGCCATAGTCTTAGTAAAGATCATAGAGTTAATGATAATAAAAGTAACAACAAGGGCAATAACAATAGGCCACAACAACAAGGAGGCGGTTTGCTGGAAGAGCGTCTCCGTAAGTTGCAACATCCGTTACGGCACGATAAAAATAGTATTGAGAAAAAGAATCACCGTCGTCGTCTACACAATCGGCGGAAACAACAACAAAAACGACAACAGCAACATAATTTGTCAGCGAAAGGTGTGGTGCGCCACCATCACAACAACGGCACAAAAATGGCGCGCAGACGTCAACATGAACGCGAGCAATTGCTGCGCAAACAGAGTCGCCACCGTCAGCAAATGTTGGCACGACACGAACAGCAACAGCGCCAGCAGCCACCACCGACAGCGCGTGGTCCGGGCGCGGCGGCTAGCTCTACGGCGTCAACAGCGGCATCAGCGCTTACAGCCACTGCCGCATCGTTAGTGCCGACAACGCTGATTGACATAATGGCTATGTTGGCCGCGTCGCGTCGTAAGCGCGGACGACGGAAAAAGGAGGTAACAGAGGAGGAGAGTGAAAGCGCGGGCGCGACTGGTAGTGCAGGTGCGGGTGCTAGTAGTGGAGCACAAGCCGATATGCAAATAGCTGTGGCACAAACAGCGCTACCCAAACCAATGGCAGAAGAGATGGTGGTGAAGCGCCAAACGGAGGAGCGCCTGCTGTTGGAACGCGGAGAGCAGTCGCCGGCGAGTGCGCAACGTCAAGCAGCGCTGGGTGCTGCGATCAAGGGAGCGATGGAGGCGCCAACGCGCAGGCATCGACATCAGCATCAAGAGCGGCGGCCGCAGGCGCTGGCTACGGCCAACGAACCAGTGAGAGCGGCGCAACATGTTTCTGAGAATATGGTTGCGCAAGCGCAGGCGCAGCCCAAACAACAGCAACAAACAGATGAATACTCAAATAGTTATGTTAATAGTAATTTAAATAGTAATTATAAACTAAATGCTTATACTAATGCTAACGCTAATAATGGTAATGATAACGTTAATGCAATACCTGCCTTGCCAAAAAACTACTTATACGAAAACTCGCATCAACGCGCCGATTATGATTATCATAGTCACGAAGATGATGACGACGATAATGATAATAATAACTATAGCAACAACAATAACTACAGCAACAGCAATAGAAGTAGAAAAAGTAGTGTTAGTCAAAGTAGTGATAGTCTTAAGCCTAGTATGACTGATTATAGTAGTAATAGTAATAGTAATTCTAAGTTTAGTCAACAACAGCAGCAACAGCAACAGCAACAACCACAAGCAACACTTAACCATATTAGGCATAGATACCGACGACGAGCTGCTGCCACCGTAGCCACAAACGAAGCAACGGTTGCAACAGCTCACGATCAACAATATAGTCATGTTGATACGAACGACGACCATGTTGCTACAAACATTGTTGATGGGCATGTTGCTGAGCAACAGCAGCCCGTTCAACGCGCACAGCAACAAGTGGATTTGGCAAAAAACGAAGAAACTGCCGCGAAAGTGAACGCTTCCGTGGTGGATTTCGGGCGCCAACAAAATGCTAAAACGACTACGAAAACGAATAAAAATACAGCAACAAATATTAAAACGAATATAATTGATGCGAATACAAATACGAATACTTATTTGAAAGATAACAACAATAACAACAATGAGAATATTGATAACATTAGTCTTAATAGTAATGGTAAGGTTAGTTATAATGATAACGGTGACATTAATGTGCACACTGCTGTTGCAGAGCAAGCTGTTGCTGTCGCTGTGAAAAGCAATAACCAAGGCGGCAATGGCGTGAAAGACAATAATGTGAAGCGTAATTTTTTTGATATACGCCTGCCGTTTTTTCGTCAACCTAGCATCAATAACAACAATATTAACAGTAATAATCATAATATTATGCTTATTGCTGACAACAACATTAATTTGGATGTCGTAGAGGGTGTGCATGATAATAATGCTGCCGCTATGCAAATGCATGCAAACGCTAATCAAGAAGCCAATGTTAATCATATTAATAGGCATGCAATTGCTAATGCGTATGCAACGCCACAGCAACAACAACGGCAACAGCAACAAGCAGCAAGTAATGGCGCTGCTACCACTGCCGCGATTGTTGTTGGCAATTTAGCTTTTGCCGCGCGCTTAGCACACGCATACAATTACGATAATCACAATGTTATTGATGCTATTCACCATAATATTAATAATAATAATAATAACTATAATGCTAATCATGTTATGAATGATGATGAAAATGTGCATGCTGCAAATATCGATAATCTAAATATTGTTAACGAGCATGTGTTAGCCGCTGCTTATCATAAGCGTTTTTTTCGTAGCTTAAATTATGCTAATACTAATCACAATGTGAATAATAATTATAATAATTATAATGATGATAATGATGTCAATGACCCAGGCGTGAATAATGATGATGAATGGAAAAGAAATCATAATAAATATGATATGACTATAGTACAATACAGATATGTAGTTGTCTTTTATTAGAAAATCGCTGAAGAGAGTGGAAGTGGGTGGGTAAAAGTGATGAATTAAGTGGTTAAGAAAAAGTCAAAAGTTGCTGCGCTACAAAAGTGATGCAAAGCAATAAAACAAATAATATTGTGGCAATTATAAAACTTGATTGTCACTCTGATTGAGCTCCGAATGTGAAAAAATGTTACGATAACGACTTCGATGAATGTCAACTTTATGAAACAAGCATGGTAAGTATAGTTTTTTCATTCACTCTCATTTTATGTGAAGAAGCAGGGATTTGCAAGGGTTCCTTATCTTTAACATTATTTCTCTATTTATTGTTAGGAAAGCAAAAGCAAAGATACTTTTCTCTAGAAACACCAAAACCAAGCTAATTTTCCTAAAATGGTTTTAGTCTCAAGCAGACAGAGAGCAGAATTAAATAAAACGATTGCTTTTAAGTTCTTAGAAGTGGAGCAGACTACTTAAACCATAAACAGCTTTAGTTGAGGATAAGCTGATACTAACGAATGGTTATTGCTTCTCCAAGAAACGAATATATAAGAAACAATGCTAAATGTTTACGATAAATAAGGCTTCCGATTATTTGCCTAATCAGTATGGGTCTGAGTGGGTATATAAGGCGGCAAAATTGCACTAACTAATCGCTGGAAATTATATTGAGAGAGGTTAGTTTTATATACTGCATATAGAGGTAAAACGTGTTTGAATATCAGAGAGTCTGTAAAGTTTAGTTGTCTAGGAAAAGGCATTAGTAAAGAAGTGTTAGGGACTTACGGTTCGATTTGTAGCGATAATGCAATTAACCATATGCATTACGAGGTTTACACTTCATTTAAATGCTAAGTAAACTATAATCGAGTAGCGCTTGTTGAAGAAAATCGCGGCTGTAGAGTTCGAAGGTGTCTGAGCAGTTTTATAACAGTTTTTGTAATGTTTTAAAGAGCTTTTCTCAAATACTTAAGTAAAAACAGTAATTTTTTATATGCCTAGTACTTATTTACACATTAATCTAGAAAAGTGGTGCGCTCTTACTTTGCGTACAGAAGGCAGTGACGGATTAAAGTAAAATCGCCGTATTAACTTTTATATGTCGAAATACTTGACGTTTTGAAGGTGTCTTTTACTTGACATTTTCAAAATAACTGACCTACTCACGCTGCTGCTAATAGAAGAGATTATCTAGATTATTTTCTGTTTGTGTTTCAGTGGAAATCAAGTGATAAATGACAGTTTGGCGAGCAACTCACGCGAGTATGCGCTAACATTAGTAAAAAATTACGAATATTTGCCTTAAATCAATGTCCAGCTCAAGCGACACTACAGGTGCTGATAAACCGCGAACTTATCTGCAACTTGTTTGGCGGCGCGCGATTGGCATGAAATGAATTAAGCGATTTTAAGGCGAGCACACACAAGCTGTAGCAAAATAAATAAATAAACCGTAAAATGTCAAACGCACAAAATGCATATTTAAACAATTTGACAAATTACCAAGCGGGTCAGTGAAGTGGGCAAGCCAAGCGGGTCGTGCGCGCGGCCGCCACCTGTTCAACTGGTCGAATTAAGCTATGCGCTAGCATCGGCAAGTTAGGATTAGTACACAGTTTGAGCGTTTGCGCTGCTAGCATGCGTGTGGATTACGGCAACGCTTCATATTTACAAAATAACCGCTTATTCTGCTAGACAGCCAACCAGGTGGCAAGTGATTTTTATTTCCCAGGCCAGCGGCCATTAGACTCAACAAACTGGCCAAGAATTCCACAAATGTGGCAAAGTGTGGTTGACGCGGCAGTAGCAGTAGTGGTAGTCGGCGCGTTCAACGGGCCTTTAGCATGTTGACATTGTCTGCTTGGCGTTTTGTGTACGCACACAAAGCTTGGCTTAGAACGGTTTCTGCAGCAACTTTTCCTCAACAAAGAAAAAAACTACAAAAAAAAAACGTGTAGAGAAGTGTAATAATGACGCACAGTTGACGTTTGTATTTTCATTTGTGCCGCGCAGGCGGTACACAGCGGGGTGCTGGCATACGCCGCTCGCCAACGCCGACAATTCTAGCTGCTTTACACCTCTTGCACTCAGCGCTGCTTGTTTGCTTGTTGAGAACTTCTAAAAAAAATTTAATATTCGAGTGAATTTATAGTTTTTTAATGAGCTACATTTTTTCGCTGCGTCCGCCAACGTCCGCACCGCTACGACTTTCTTTCTACGTCCAATCGCGCCTGTCCGCCCTTTGGACGTGCGCTGTCGCCTACCGATATGCCAGCGTATATATATGTAAATTAGTTAGGAATTCCTACAAACAAGCTTTTCATTTTCAATCAAGCATTTCGAATTGTTTATGTTTGTTCTATAGACGCCGCTGCGCCACCACCGCCCTCAATGCCGGCCCAACTCGTCGCTAAGCCGGTTGTGCGCTATTGGTATGCATATCGGAGCACATACAGGTGTTATACACGCAGCTTCCACATTTATTCTTCTTTATTCATTCTCTTTGTATTTTTTTTGTGTCAATAATGTACTTAGCCCATTGTGCGCTTTGGTGTTGCATTTTTCATTTTTCAACGTTTTTTTTTTGCTCGAAACAAAGAGAGAGATGTTAATAAGGAAATTATCTGCGGTGCTGGGGCCGAAATAAGTAAGAAATTACCTGCACGCCAAGCGCGTATGCCGCGGCCAGCTGCTGCACCGTCTAATTAAATGTTGGCGTTGATTACATCGTAGAATATTTTTTGACAAATTACCCAGCCGTTCGCTTGAGTGTATGTAAATTTACGCTGTGCGTGTGTGTGTGCGCGCAAATGTAAAAATATTTGTGTACATATTTCATTTCTCAGCGCTGATATACGTTCGCGTTTGATTTATGTGCAACTGGGAGAGGCTGGAGGTTGGTGTTGGCTGGCCTCCGTATGTTATGCTCGAGCATTAAAGTGTTAACTGTTCGTCGTTTCATTAACTTAACGCGCTGTGTGTGTATGTCTGCATGCATGTACAAAGTTGACTTTGACTCGGCCCACATTTACAGCGGTGTGCATACCAAGCTCGCGCGTGTGTGTGTGTGTGTGCAACGTATTTATTTGCATCTTTGCAGCGCTCAATGGCTGTTTGATGTATTAATTTAATGCATCGCCGCTGTTATCGGCATTCAAAATGGTATTTGTGTTTGAATTGGCATTTGGTGGCGCTGCTGCCGGTGCTGCTTGAGAAACAGGTTAATATCAGATAGCCATTTATTTTCGTGTTTTACTCTTTCTTTCGGTTATTAAAATCTGTCACTGGCAATGCGAGTATGCAAGCTTTGTTTTCGGTTGATGTCGCAAATGCCTTGACCCGCGCAATAGTTTTGAAAGTTCATTTAAATGAGCTTAGAATGTCAGAAGATTTATCGGTAATATAAAATAATAGTAAAATAGCAAAGAACTGCTATTAAAATTCTTCTAATGTCTAAATAAAAATAAAGTAACGAATAATGCTTCAACTACTTGTTTTAAAAATCAATTCCACTGCCAATTTCTTTAGCTATCAACTTTCGGCGAGTATTGTCGAGACTCCTGCCTCCTGAACCGACACTGTACATTTTCCAAATAATTTTGCGGATTACTGCTGAATTAATAACACTTGGACGGATGAAATTCCGAGTCGTTACAGGTAACGTTCAGGCGATGTGAGTTCATGTCCGCTCTTTGTCTTAACCTGAAGTCCAAACTATTTCTTTAAGCTTCAGAAATATTACAGAAAATCTTGTGATATCTATCTATCTCTATCTGCAAATATATACATATAAAATATGTCGAAATAAAAAGAAATTACAGGATCTCTATAAATACGATACATACATGCATTCACAAAAAAGTTCAATCTGTTCAGGAATATCAAGCATTATCCTACATGATTAAATTAAGTTTATTTGCTCTGAAAAAATCTGCAACAATTCTTAATATACAGCAACAGATCATTCTTCTTAAAAAAGTACTTTGTTCACAATACTTTCTGAAACACTTCCTCTATTACCGGCTCTAGTACTCCTATCCGTTTTAACAGGCCTCTAACCCTAACTCTCTTCAATGTTATTTCCATTTCAAGCGATAACAAATGATACTGTAACGGTAGCAAATTTACAGCTACACATTTAATACCAGCTAAATGAAACATCAGATGACTAACTGAGTGCGAGTGAGTTTCCCTTAACGTTTCGGTGAGCCGAAGTAAAGTTGGATGCTCGCACCTAATCAGAAAGTTTAATATTGAAAATATCATCGTTTCACTGCTTAAGCAGACTGTTATTGTAAGCCTTCTTATTTATTAATTTTAGCGAAGGCAACAATTGATCTTCAGTGAAGAGCAAATATGTTTAACTGTTTTGTTTTTTTATTATTTATTACATATTTTTTTAAATTGGTTTGTAGAATTTCCAAGTTGACCTTTAGAATTCCGAAAAAAAACTTACTAGTCTAACCTTTTGTAAAAATCACTGCTACTTGCGCATTCCAAAAGCTGAATTACAAGCTAAATAACACTTTTTACACCCACACGCTGGTGAGCGAACAGCAGAGGTCAACGTGGTTTTAAACAGTTCTCGTTGTTTAATTCATATAAGATTGACAAGTAGACAAATTGTATGAGCTAGAAATAATTCACGAACATACAGCTCGATCAATGTACATATGTATGTATGTATGCAGCGTGATTTACCTATGTGCCTTGCAACTAAGTTTCGAGATATCAAGATTTTTATGGGTTTCTAAATTTGTTACATGCTGCTTCATTCTAAAAATAGCTGCAATTTTGTAAAGTATTAAAACTTTGTATTGAGTCGCGCTTACATTTGCATACATATAAGCATTTGTATGTGTGTGTGTGTAACTGTTTATGCACGGCTTAGGCGTCATGCCGATTTTTAATTTAGTACTTATATTTTTATAGAGTCTCCCAAATTGGTGAACAGTCATCAGTGTTGGCTTGTTTTAGCTTTATTTTTAATTTTATTTCGCGCTTTTTTCAGACGCCAA